GAAAGATTTCTAGCATAAGGTAACACAATAGTTGTTGGTTTTCAGGATCCTGCTTTTTACACAAGAAGTGAACTGCCACTTTGAAAATGAGCCGGACCACGTTTTCAAGGGAAACAAATCCGGGAATTTGTATCTGACCAGCCATCGCGTATGTTTCCCCTCATTTTGAAGTGATCATTTCACTATTTTTCCTTATGCTTGAATAACTTTGTCCAATTGTCCAGGTAATTTTCATTAATCGAAAAAGCGATGCGATGCGTTCATTTTCAATGCCGTTTCACTGCATGCAAGATGTCAAATTGGAGCAACCTGTTTTCGGCGCCAATTATCTCAAGGGTATTGCTGTGGCGCAGCCAGGCGGTAAATTTTCGCGTTTTTTTTTTTTTTTTGATTTTACGTTGTTTGTGTACGCCTAGGATTTGTTATGAGTTGCAGTAAATGTTCATTGGAAAGTGAGAACCAGTTGCTAAGTTAGAGCCTGTTGTTCCCCTACTGCTTCAAAAATTTTTACACACTTTACTGCTACCTAGAACAGCGTCTCTTCATTATTTGAAATTCATCATGGTCAAAGAGTTTTCGTAACGGATTAACTGAATGTTGAACGCGAAGCTTTTTGAGCGGGTTTTAAGCTATGGTGCTTCGTCCACTCTGATATGGCTCTTCGCTCACTGTGACATGACGGCCCGTTTATTGTGGTAAACCTGCAAAAAGCCGATGAAGAAGTTGCCACAAAGGAAATGAGAAGAAACGAAAGGTGTAAATTGCCTTGAAAGGCAGATACACAGTAGACGTGCGATCACACTGAACATGGAGCACAAGGACCGGTGGTGTAGTGGTAACACATTGCGCCCGGAAGTGAAGAGAGGTGGTTCGATTCCCTCCCGGTCCAGAACAATTTTCGGAGAAAGGACTCTGTTCACGATACCATCAGTGACTTGATGCCTTGTCATTCGTGGCGCAAGGATGACTTCTCCTCTTTGTTTAGCACTTCTTTCATCTTTGTCTATTGCTTTCCAGTGTAAATGATTGTCGTTTTGCTAACTATCATTGTTCGTAGTTTTTTTTTTTTTTGCTTTTCAACTGATAAAATGCTCGGCCACTCAAATAAATATTCGCCGCGCTAGCTTGACCGATTTTACGGCTACATTGCTTGAAAAAACAGCTTAGCACTCCCCTTGATCTGATGAGCAAATGCAGTCAGATAAGACTATTTTTATGCGTTTTTTGCAGCAATGCAATGCGAAAAACGCATACTGACGAGAGGTTGTCTGTGTCCGTGTGTTTGTGTGTCTGTGTGTGTGCTGGGCCTCTGTACCGATTTTTCATCTCGAGACCGGCAAAAGCTACGG